ACAGAGCCCGACGCGGGGCTCGAACTCACGGACCGTGAGATCATGACCTGAGCCGAAGTCGGCCGCTTAACCGACTGAGCCACCCAGGCGCCCCTGGATTCCAGTTTTCAATGTAAAGAAGCTAAGCGGTCTCGGGCCACCTCCTTGCCGTCTCTGGGCCCAGGTATCCCTCTTGTTGCGGGAGAGGACAATGCCCTCAGCAGGCTGTCACAGTGGTCCGATGAGTCACACAGGCACAGGAAATGTGATTCAGCATCCTTAGGAGCCTCCACAGCGTCAGATGTACCCCGGGGGTGAGGGGCGGGGGACGGGGATGGGCTCAAGGACTCCAGCCCAGCCCGATACACGAACCCCCTCATCTGGGTGTCGTTTGTGAGGTCACAGGCCCAGGGTCCCGCAGATCCCAGGCAGAAGGTGGCCTGGGCTCCTTTGCACGCCTGGGTTGTGCCCAGCTTCCCATCCCCCAACAGGCACCCCTCGGTCCCTCAGTCCAGAGTGACCAACCTGCCGGGGACACTATCAGGTGAGTTGACCTCAGTGTTGCCAAGAGAGGCTGCTGGAATGTTCCATTCAGAGCTGCACCCCCACGGAGCTCCCTGCCCCTCACTTGCCCAGACCTGTGCCATTATAGTTATCTGCCTTACATTTTTGTGGGTTCTTCACACGCTGTCATGAAAAGGCACGGGGGGGGGGGGTGCTGTGCTTTGCCCTCGACATCCGTCAGCGGGGGTCCGAAGGTGTGAGCGAGACAGAGAAGGGAGTGGCGGAGGGTGGAGAGAAAGAAATGTTTGATAGGTACTTAGTAACCATAACCACCGCTGGCCTTTCTTGAGTGTGCAGCACGTGGCTAGTGGCCAATGCTCTACATGGCTTTATGCCATTTAGCCATCAGGACAGTGGCAAGTGCCATTATCGTCCCCACTTTACAGACAAGGAAATTGAGGCAGAGAGATGAGTTAGCTGCCCGGGGTCACAAGGCCAGTATGAGTCTCAGCCAGGGGACAAGCCCGGATGGCAGGCAGGGCTCTCGGCTCCTGGGTCTTGGCACGGGCCAAGATGGAGGGCGGGGTCTGGGGGTCAAGGCCGAGACCGAGAGGGGCTCTGAGAATGTCCCCTTTCTGCTACACTGTCACCCTCTCTGGGGGCCATGGGGCCTGCCTTGTGCCCCAGGCAACTGCTCAGTTAATCTCAATCAGAGCAGGAGGCCTGTGGGGTCAGTCTGGCCCCCATCATGCCTAGGGCTCCAGCCAGGCTCTCAGCACAGAACGCCCTATGGGCTGGGCCATCCAATTGGCTGGAGCAGGCTCGGCTGTCAGGACTATGGAGCATTCCAGAAAACCGAGGGCCGTGGTGTAGCCCCTTAACCGTAGCTGGCAGCCTTGGGTGCACGGATGTCCAGCCCTGGGCTCAGAACTGGACAGCACGGTCTCATCCTTGAGAAGCACCGTGTCAGCTGGCGGGTGCTCCCATGACCCCCTAACAGATGAGGAGATTGGGGCACTGGGACCGAACTCAGGGAGGCAGGCAGAGAGGGGCCGGGGGGCAGAGAGGGTGAAACCCACTCCTTGTGTGAAGGAATAATCAGGGCAGGCTGCCTAGAGGAGGCATTAGCCAAGCTGAGACCTGAAGGGAAGCGAGTCAGAGCGGGCAGGCGGAAAGGGTCCCTACGGGTCCTTGGCACCAGGGCAAGAAGCGAGTGCGTCACCGTGTTCCTCCGATGAGCTTCAAGTAAACAGGCGGGGGCCCGGGGGACTGTGGCTGTCACTCAGGGCAGCGTCACTGCCCCTCAGCCCTTGCGCCCCACTGTTCTCTGCTCTTCCATCCCTGGCACCGGGGACGGGGCACAGAAGTGGCCACTGCCCAGATCACTCAGCCCCCTGAGCCGCCACCACCCAGCCTGGCCTCCCCAGGCTAGGAGCCGGAGGGGACAGTGTATTCTGTGTCTGGACGGTCCCACAGTGATGGCCACGGTGGCTGTTGGTGGACCGTCCCTCTTCTTACCAAACTCCTCCTGGTTACTCCGTGCAGGCCTGGCAGGGACGAGGGCTGCCCCATCTCCCCGAGGGGCACCAGGGTGGGACGGGGGCGCGGCCTGGGGGCAGGAGAAAGCGGGGTCCCCTGGCTGCCTGCCTACCCTTAGCGGCAGTGGGGTGGCTGTTCCCCAGCCCACGCCCCGTCCTGCACCTCAAGGTCCGGGGCTCTCCTGCCCCCTGGCCAAAGGGAGGGGACTGTGAGCCTGTTGGGGTGCGTGACTGTACGCGTGTACGTGTGAGTGTGCCCCGCGTGGTGTGCGTGTGCTCGCGGGGGCAGCCCGGGCCCTCTGGGGCTACACGTGTGCCCCTGCGGGAGTGTCCTGAGCCCTCGTGGCTGCGGCCAGGGCCGGGGGCGGGGGGACTGGCCGTGAGGGTGGGGGAGCCCCGGCCCACGCCGCCCCCTCCCTGCAGGATGGACCCCTTCGCGGACACGCTGAGGCGGCTGCGGGAGGCGTTCAGCGCAGGGCGGACGCGGCCGGCCGAGTTCCGGGCGGCGCAGCTCAGGGGCCTGGGCCGCTTCCTGCAAGAACACAAGCAGCTTTTGCAGGAGGCGCTGGCGCAGGACCTGCACAAGGTGAGGGGGGGCGGGGCAGGGGTGAGGGGGCAGGGGGGCAAGGATGGGAGGGGGGGCGGGGCTGGGGGAGGAGGGATGGGGGCAAGGATGGGGGGGGCGGGGCTGGGGGGCAGGGCTGGGGAGGCCAGGATAAATGGGAGGGGACAGTGGCATCCTCTAGGCCCCCAGGAAGGGAAACTAAAAGCCCATCAAGCCCCACCCCCTTCCCTGTGCCTGGAGGGCCTCTTCTGCAGGGCCATCCGCTCATTTCTTCACCCACTCCACAACTATTTACTGAGGACCTACTACGTGCCAGGTACACCGTTCTAGGCTCTGGGGGTACGACAGGGTAAAAAACAAAGTCCCTGTGCCCAGGGAGCTGGCCTTCTAGAGGGAGGCACAGAACAATAAATAAATAATTGTATATAGCCTGTTGGATGGAGAGACCCTCCCTGGGCGAAGGGGGCGGGAAAGGACCAGGATCAGGGGGCTGTCTTATATGTGGAGGTCAGGAGGTCAGGGACAGTTCCCCCAAGAAGATGGCATTTGAGCAGAGACATGGAGAATAGTGCCTCACGGCACCCGGGGTCATGGATCAGGGCACCCCCGTCCTTTGGGGACAGCAAAGTGTGGCCACAAGGACTCATGCTGAGGGTGTGGCCTGGCGATGCCTGTTCCCTTTCTCAGTGTCCCCAACCTGCCATTAACCAGGATGCGCTGGGACTGTAGCCAGGTGAGGCCCAGGCTTCCTCGTCGGCCATTTCTGGAATCATCCGTCTCTCTGTGAAACCAGCGTGCCAGACCACACCCCCCTTGGTGTGCCCTTGCCTGAGGGGCCCAGCTTTGCCTTCTGTGGGAAGTGTCCCACTCCCTGGGCCTGGTCCAGGATGGAGGGGCTCACATCTCCCACCCCCAGTGAGCCTCAGCCACCGCCCGCCTGCTGGCCTGGCCTGGCCGCCTCTGTGAGACCTGACCTGTCTGTCTGGTCCCTTTTCTCCCTTGGGCTCAGATTTTACCTATTGCCTTTCATTCCAACTCCTCAAGGCTCCAGGAGCACAGAAAATCAATCCTGTCCCTGACCCTTCTGGCAGACAGCATCTGCCCTGCCTTCCCTGAACCAATTCTCTCATTTCACCCCCAACAGTCCTTCCAGGTAGGGACAGTCACCCCCAGTCATCCCCACAGGAGGCTCAGAGAGGGCACGTTCTTGCCTCAGGACACACAGCCCTGGCTGAAAACAGCCTCCTCTTCCAAAGTTCAGCTGGGTCCAGACGGCTCATAAACTGGTCCAAACCTCGCTCAGGTCAAGGGCCACCTTGCTGGGCAGGAACGTGAGCTTTGGACACAGGGTTAGCGGAATGCATGCCTGAACCAGGCTCAGCTCCTAGAAGCGCTGGTGTATGTGGTTCTTTTCCCCAAGGTCCCGGCTCCTTCTTCCTCAAGGCTCAGCTCTGGCCCTGGCCTTGCCCCTGGCTCGTTGAGTGACCCTGGACAGGCTTCAGTTCACTCTCTGGACTGTCCTGGCACACCTCAGGCTCGTCCCTCTCGATTCTAGCAGGGGAGAGTTTGCACTATAACAGCTGAGTCTCGGGCATCAGGACAGCCTGACTCTGTATCCCAGGCCATGGGCCTCCAGCTCCTGTAGCCCTCGGCCGGGTCTCTTCTCCCCGGCCGGAGTGGAACAGACATACCCACAGGCAGAAATCAGGATAATAATCCCCCTATTGATTTTTGCCTGTCTCTCACTCCTGCCCTGTCCCCTGCGCTGTGGGAACTATCCACAATTACCCAGGGACATCTGTCCCCGGTGTTCCCCTGCAGACTGATAGCCACACAGCAGGCCACAGCGCGGCCACACCGACAGTTGAATTAGATCTTGTCCCTGCTCTGCTCGACAGTCCTCGCCCCCGTTGCCTGGGCCCATCACCTCACCCACTCTGCTCTTTGTTTAGCAGGAACAGGGGCGCCTGGGTGGCGCAGTCGGTTAAGCGTCCGACTTCAGCCAGGTCACGATCTCGCGGTCCGTGAGTTCGAGCCCCGCGTCGGGCTCTGGGCTGATGGCTCAGAGCCTGGAGCCTGTTTCCAGTTCTGTGTCTCCCTCTCTCTCTGCCCCTCCCCCGTTCATGCTCTGTCTCTCTCTGTCCCCAAAATAAATAAACGTTGTTTAGCA